GTATTAGTTTATTTATTAAAGTGTAACTGCCCCCATTTTTTAAGGTATTTATTTTATTGGCTTAATGTGATGGCTTGACCATCACATTAAGCTGTATAGCTGTATTAAATATATAAGCTGTATTAAATATATACCGTATAGGGGTTTTATTTTGTTGGTATAAAATTTCGCAAATTTGTCCAGATTTGCCATTTGTTGGTATAAATTTTTGCGAATCTACCTTCTGCAGCCATTTTTCCTAGTGTGCCACACCGCTTTTGTGGAATTTAATTTCGCAAATTTAATGAAAACGCAAAATTTGCGAAATTTTATTTCCAGTAAAATATAACCCCTATATGGGTAGTACTAATGTATGCCAACTCCCATTGGGAGTTGGCATACATTAGTACTATGAATGGGAGTTGGCATACATTAGTACTATGGTCAAGCCATCACATTAAGCCAATAAAATAAATACCTCAAAAAATGGGGACAGTTATACTTTAATATTAAAGAAATCTCTGAGATGCATTTGTTGTCATGTGCAACATCTTGGTGCTCAGACATAGTAATAGTAATAGTATACAATTTTAAATAAATTGTAATAGTAATAGTATTACATCAATTTGAAACTAAAGGTAATAGTAATAGCTTTTTAGGTAATATTTTCTGTAAATGACTGAGTTTAAGGTACACTGGTAAGACTTTCTGACTCTGTTTTTTGAAAAATAATAAATTAATGGTGGTTTGCTTTGATTATTATAAATGAGCTGACCATTGACAGTAAATACTAATAAATAATAAAAGTAATAGTAATGAAAGGGTTTTTCATGTAATAGTAATTAATATATTACATTTTGCTGAAATTGTAAAGTAATAGTAAAAAAATATATGTAATAGTAATTGCAATTTATTACATTTTGGTTAATAGTATTCCATTTCTATTTGTGGAAATGTAATAGTAATTTATTACTTTGTAAATTAGTTGACCCCATGTCTGTAATGGTGCAAAGGTTTTATGCTCTAAAAAATTTTATCTTCCTTTTTGTTTTAGCTCTTGTGACAGTAAAATATGAATAAATGATGCTCATACATTGTAGAATTTAATTTCATTAGAATGCCCACATGATTCTTCATTGTCAATAAAAATCAAGCAAAATTTAATGATAACAACAATCATGACAATAATAATAATAATAATAATAATAATAGGGAGTGACTATAAATTTAAAAATATTAAATAAGCACACACACACAGAGGATACATGTATACATTGATAATCACATCATTATTATATGTACACTTCCTAATACAACATACACTCATAACAATAATTAAAAGGTGTCTATGGGATATAAAAACTAATACCATAATAGAGAGGGAGAGAGAGAGGAATTGAGTGATAGGGCAGTAGTGCATGTAGAGCAATGTTACAAGCTC